AATTGATCATCTTCCTTTTATCAAATGTTTGTCATTACTCTGGTGGTAAAAGGAATCACTAAATTCTGAATTAAACCAGACTGCCTCTGAATCAGCCTCAATCTTGGACAACTAAACATGGCTAATCTTTTTTTTGAACACTCTTGACTTCTAATCCTACCTCCCCAGTCAGATCTCTCTTTACCTCTGTTTTAAAATTATTGCATTATAACTACTCCTGCTATAGTTTGGGTCCTGATGTCCTCCCAAAGCCTCACAAGGTCATAGGTGGGTTTTTTTCAGAGGCTGAATCTACAGTGTGTGATGCTAAGATTAAGGCTGTGTTACTACTAAATTGGTGTATTCATTGGTTTGGAACCACCCTAATCCCCAGTAGCTTGGACACAACATAAGGAACAGAGAGAGGCTTGTTTTCTTCCTTATGGCTTGCTTTTTCCTGTCTTCTGCTTGGCATGAACAGGTTCTCTTCTGTGATCTCCTTCTGCTAAGCCACTCTGCCTTGGTGCCAGCTGATTATGCCGTAAAACTTCTAAAAACTGTGAGCTAAATAAATATGTCCCCGTTTGACTTTGGGTGTGAAGTATTTTGTCTCAGCAGCAAAAATAAAGTAACTAAGACAACTCCTTAATTGTCTTCTAACTATAATATCACTCGTAATTCAGTATTTGTTAGCAGTAGTGGGATTTAATGGAACAAGTATAGATCTTATAGTTAGAAGATTTTCTTGCTCTTTGTTTATGGGGAAAGGCATTACATATAATAGATATGTCTATCTTTTCTGACAGTTCATTGTTGGCATCTTCTGAAATCTCTCTAACTGTAATGATGTGTCTAAAACTAAACTGAAGGGAAGTTAATATCAACTGTTCTGCCTCTCAGACTCAGATTCTTTAGGGAAAAATGCAGCTTTAATAAGTAAAAAAGCAGCAGAGTGAATGAAAGTATCATTCCAGTCAAACAGAACAATAAGGTTCAGAATATATCAGATAAAATCTTTCAACCTCATAATTTTGACCAAGGCTGATCCTACGTAAAGGCATTCTCTTAATACTTGCTAGGGCTAAGACATGTGGCATTTCTATTCTTCATTTATCCTCAAGAAATAAGCATTCTATTGTCTCTCCTCTACCGATCTATTTATTCTACAGTGAGAGACCCAGATGTTTTCTTATTTCAGAATAGGAAATAATCCATATTCATCTTCCTTTTTGATAATGCATAGCTATTCCAATATTGTCTGGACTTTTAACCTATCTCTAATTATTGAATACTTAAGTCTCTTAAGAAAAGCAACTGCTCTCAAGTGACTGAAATTCACAGGGTAAAGGCATATCTCACCAGTTGAGTATATGCTTAGTATGTCTGACATATTAGATTTGACTTTCAATACCACAGACAGAAAAAGGAAAAAAAGCATTTAAAATTTGTTTCTAAAATCAAAACTCCATATTTCCTTTTATTCAGAATGACAGGATGTTTGTACTAATCTCCAATGCCTTTTCATCTACCTCAGAGCCCCCAAGTTTAGATGTTCTATAGCCCATTTTCATGGTACCTTCTCTATCCCCCAAATGGTTTCAAATATTCTAAAACCAAAAAAAAAAAAAAAAAAAAAAAAAAAAAATCCAAAGAACTAAGGGTCAGTTTTGGATAAACAATAGAAGACAAGACACAGCACTGAAAAAAAGTCAAAATAGGGTCAGAGAAGGAAAGTGGACAGAACATTTACATAATCTTGTGTCTGGTTAGGGGAACAGCCTGTCTCCTAATTATTAAAATTTTAAAAGTCCAGTTTACTGAAAGGATTAATACTCAAGATACCCCTCTTCAAAAGAATGTGTGCTACTGTGACAAGCAGTCTGCTTCATTGTGCACACAAAGATGGCAGCAGATCCCTCAACCACCTTCCACCTGGGGGTGCATTTTAACACACCCAGTGAAAGCCTGATCCCATGGATACCACCTGACTCTACATATACAGTACTATGTTTTTTCCTATACAGAGTTACCTATAACATTTAATTTATAAATTACGAACAGTAAGAAATTATCAACAATAAAATAAGAGCAATTAATGTTTATATGCTGCAAAAAGGTATTCACTTATTGTATTCACTTTTAACTGTACATAACTGAAAATGTAGATATAGAAACTTCAGATATGGAGTACTGTACACACATTTTAATATGTCAAATTAATTTATTGTGAATCTTAGTAAGTATAATAAATTGTTTTCAAGTATTACTTATGAAATATTATAACCTGAAGCTTTAAAATCTGAACTTTTTAAATTTGTTTTCAGAAATAAATTGTTACTACATCTGAATACTGTACTACACTAAAATAAATCACAAGGGGCTGGGGATTTAGCTCAGTGGCATAAGCACCTGCCTCGCAAGCAGGCAGTCGTTGAGTTTAATCCCTGGTACCAATAAAATAAATAAATGAATAAATAAATAAATAAATAAAAATCACAAATTACATTGTCTCTTTTGGGGGGTAAAGATATTTCTAGTATTGTCTCTGTTGCATCTTACCGGATGACCCTCTAATTTTTGCTTAAATTTGACATCTAATATAACTGTACCTCAATCATCACATACATATTATAGGATTTTCATGAAGAAGCTCTTTGTATTTATTATTATTAAAGAACAAACAAAACTAACCATTATCCACTTTATTATATGAGCTCTTTTATTTTGCAAATGAGTTGAGCAGGTCCTTGACCTGATTGTCTAGGTATTCTCCAAATTTTCCTTGGATTTATGTTTTTTCTAAAATAGGCTCTGTATAGGTTATTTGTTAAATTACTCTTTTCTTTTTTCCTTTATATCCCAATTTATTAAGAATTCTCTTAAAAAATAAAAAGCCAGGGCCGGGGATTAGCTCAGTGGCTCAAGCGCTTGCCTGGTAAGCACAAAGTTGTGAATTTAATCCCCAGTACCAAAAAAACCCACCCAAAAAACAAAAACATTAAAAATAAAAAGGCATCAAAGAAATCTGAGCTGTTTTCTTGTAGACTGGCCACCAGAAACATTCATAATTCTCCCTTTCCCTTAAAATTAAAGCTCACTCTTTTTCTTGAAAGACTAACATTTAAGGATGCACTAGACATCCTTGCAACAGTAACAACAAAGCCCTATTAAGGATGATGGAGGAGGAAAACAGGCTCCTGCATTATAGTGTTTAATGCTTTAAAAACTTAGAGCACATTAACATATGAAAGAAATTAATTTTGTTTCATTCTGCATGTTCATCACAATTAGTGACCTAAATGCACTAAACAAATTTCAACATTTAAAAAATGGCTTTTTTTTTCCTTTTCGTTTTTATTGGTACCAGGGATCGAACTCACGACTGCCTGCTTGCAAGGCAGGCGCTTATGCCGCTGAGCTAAATCCCCAGCAAAAAATGGCTTTACACCTGAAAATTTATGCAAAGACAGCTTCCTAAACTCATCAAATAATTTAGCATGCTTTTTTTAGTGATGTTCTATCTAAATTTGCAACACATTGCAAATTATCAAAATCTATTGTTTAATGTTTTATGTTGTTTTGAAAAACACACTAATTCTCCTTGAAATTAGTACATTCTGATATATGTAATTTAATATTTGTAGACATTGACTGTTGACTTTTTTTTTCAATACCAGACAAAACTTAAGATACCTGGAATTTTCTGGATAACTACTTATGGCACACACTAAGATTTCAAATAATGACTCAAGATTAAAGTATTAAAGTATTAAGATTAAAGTCTTAGCTATAAAATATTAAAGCTGTCTAATCTCATACCCTTACAAATATAATAAATGTAATAAAAGGGATTGAAAATGCCAACAACATTGGCAAGTCATGACCAATTCAAACTAATGCCAAAAATTTACTGATCAAACAATAGTTTTTCCAGGAAAACAAGAAACCTTCCTTTAAAAGTTTTACTTTGATCATGTCATTATCATGTTCAAAATCTTCAAAAGTTTGCATCTTTCCTTTCTAGTTTTGCTTTTTCCTACTACTCTATCCTCAAAAAAATTACTATTTATTTTCTGTGAATTTCACACTGCCAGTGATTTTGTGTGTGTGTGTGTGTGTCTTTAAAGCAGGGTCTTGCTGTATAGTTCAGCCTGGCCTTGAGTTCACTATGTAGTCCAGACTGGCCTTAAACTTCCTGCCTCAGCCTGATAAGTGCCAGGATTACAGGTGTGCATCACCATACTGGACTGCCCAAATTTTATATAAAAATATTCACATCAGTTAACACACAGAGAAACTGAAATCAACTTAAAAGTCAAGGTGAAATTCATAAAAATATATCATAGTTGCCCATTAAAGATTTAGCAGCATTTTGACTACTGCCATGAGATAACAAAAACATATTCATAATAAGGAATTTACTATTTAGCAGAGATTCAAATTTAACTAAATGTCCTGTGTTAGTGGCCTTCCCAATTACCAGTAGATCTACACAGCTCACTTCGTTATTATCCTGTTTTCTTCATTGCATTTGTGAATTCCTAGAGATGTTATTGCTCATTATTTTTGCTACTAGTCTATTCTATATTCTCTTCTAGTCTATAGTGTGTAGTGCATGGCCTCCTACCTAACCTATACAAGTCTTCCCCAGGTTAACACTGAGGAATGTGGTCTCTGTGTTTTGAACTACTTTCCCAGCATCTAAAACTCTGCCTCACACAAAGTAAATGCTCAAGAAGTATCTTTTGAATAAATGAATGCTCTGGACTCATAAGCCTTTTAAGGTGTTTAGTAAAAATTATTTTCTTCTAATCCTGTAACTGAAACACGTAGACCTTCTAAATATCCACTAGTTTTATAAGTTATTTTATTACAAACATTGGATTGTTAACAAGACCAATAAATAAGATCTCTTCATAATTAAAGACCAAAAATAACTGTAGGAATATAGAAATAGTCATAAAAGGATGATTACAGAATAATACTTTATATAGGTGTACAACTATGCAAATCTGTCTTACCGTCTTAATAGAACTCCTTTGTTTTTCTTCCCAAACACCAGTGCTCAACTCAAGTGTACAATGAATATTTGCCTCTCTGTCATAGGACCCAAAAATGAATAACCTGTAGCATAAAAATAAAACAAGAAGATTACAGTAGTTACAGACATTAATTTTTTTCTTCTTCTGATCATTAGTATAAGAAATAATACATTATTCCATTGCTATTATGGTTTGGAACAGAAAAAATTCAATTAAACATTTGGTACACCCTCTAGTGGAAAAGTGAGGTAACGCTAAAATTAGTGGAGATACAGGGTATTCTGTTTTCAACAGCAAAGTCAAACAAATTCAAAGTAATATATACTTATGAGATAAAGAAAGAGACCAAATCTCTCTAGTAAGAAAGAGGCAGAGAATTTCAATGTAGACTGTCTATGTGTTTTAAAAGTTTAGAAATCTGCAGAGTGATATGAATGGTATCATCTCTCTAAAAATTAAACACACAGAAATACAGTACGATCCACACCTCTATATACCCTAATTTCCTAATGTGACCCTAGGCAAACTGTTTAATTTCTAATATTTACCTATGAGAGTTGTCATGACAGTTAAATACAAAGTACATAGAATTTAACATAGTGTCTAGCAAACAATAAGTGCTTAATAAACACTTTTTATTCCTATTATCTTGAAAATAGTTGTTAAGCAATAATGGCATTGCCTAATTTTATTGTTTAATATAAAATTCTAATCAGTACATGAGCAGTCTAATTTTGAGATAAAAGTTTTACTGCTGAAGAAACAAAAGGTTATCCATATGTCCAACTTCTTACGTCACCTATCCTCAGAATCAGACTGTAATCTGCCAATTCAAAAGTAAGCTTGAGAATAATTTCAACATTAATTAACACTGCACTGTTACTCTATTACTTTATCATTATATGAAGATCATGGGTAGGAGTGAGATAATGAAAGAAAAGTGGACAAAATACATGTAAGATTTTGAGGAAAAATAGGTTCTACATTTGGAGATTTCAAGCAAAACATGTCCACACACCACAGACTTGCATCATACAAGAAGCCTGAATAAACATAAGGAAAAAAAAAGACACCTAGTTCTTAAAGAGTTTCAAAATGCATTTTAAATTCAGTGCTTAATAACCTATAACAAAAAGAAGGGAGGCCAAATGCATTAAAAGGATTTATAATTTAAAAATACCAAGCTAAGAATAATTGGAATTTTCATTAATAAAGCTTTGCTGCCACCATCTGTTCAAAGACTAACGTAACTGAAGGCCTTTGCTGACATGCAGAAAAAACTGTAGTAGCAAGAGTTTCAATTCCTGCCAAGTGCTTAAGAGTAAGGAATGAAAAAACAGAATTCTCTCTGAAGTCACAAGTTATCCCATACTTCCTATACTGCTTTTTAAGAGCATTTAAAGTTATTCTTCAAAAGAATAACATAGAAAGTAATAAAAATTAATCCAAAATGGCAACAGGCCTAAAAGAGCTATAGTTATAAAACTTACAAGAACAAAATCATATCTTTTTCTTTTTTTTCCCACATATAAACAAATCACCAGCTTGTTAGAAAGGACAACAATTTGACAAGAAAAAAGAAAAACAAATTGAATTTCATCATAATTAAAATTTCATTCATTTCCAAGAACATATCATTTAAACAAAAAGAATACACAGAATGGGAGGAAATATCCACAAATCTTATATTTGAAAACAGCCTAATAAACACAAAAAATGAAAAACTCTTACAACTTAACAATAAAATGTCACAATTTTAAAAGACGTAAAGGAAGGCATTTTCTCCAAAGATGCATAAATTATCAATAAGCATATGAAAAGGCACTAAATATCATTAGCCATCAAGACAGTCCAAAACTACATCAAACTCACTATAATAAAGGGGTCAGGCTATAATAAAAAAGATCAACAAGTATTGATGAGGATATCCAGGAAGTAACCCCCAAACATGCTGGTGAGAATGTCAAGTGGTATAGTCACTTTGGAAAAAAACTGAGCAGTTACTTAAAAAGTTACTATAATTAACATGACAAGCACCTCTGTTCTTAAGTATATAAACAAAAGAAACTAAAGCATATATTTACATAAAAATTTGCACACATATAATCACAAAAACATTCATAATGGCCAAACATGTTAACAATTCAAATGTCCATCAAATGATAAACAGGTTAAATAAAATGTGGCAGATTCACACAGTGGAATATTTGGCAATGAAATGAAGCATTATAAGTTACTGAATTATGTATGAATCTTGAAGAAACCAGGTCAAAGAAACTCAAAAGAGAAATATATGACTCCAAAGATATGAATTGTTTGGAATAGGAAAATCTATAATCTATATAGACATAACACAGATGTCTGGGTGATTTTTAACTTGTTGCTGAGTCAAAATACTTGATGAACAAAGTTGGGAAAGGAAAGGTCTATTTCTTACAGATTTTGGAGGTTTCAGTCCATACTCAGTTGGCTCTAAGGCAGGGTGGCATGGCAGGGCCGCAGTTTATGGCAGCTGCAAAGGGCAAGGCAGTAACTGGCAAAAGAGAGAGACACACCTTCTTCTTGCCATTACATTACATCCTGGCTCTACCCCTAGGCCAGTGTAGCACTCACACTCCCAATCCAAGTGCTAGACAATGAACCAGTCACAAATGCATGATGCAAATGCATGAGGCCTGGGGGCCACTGACATAAACTATGATATTCCACCCCTGGCCCCCAGGACTCATATACATGGTTTATACAAGACATTTAGTCCACCTCCAAGAGTTGCCAAAGTCCTAACAGTTTCAGCAATGATGAAAAGTCTAAGTCCCAAGTGTCTTCTAAGATCTATGGCAAACTCTTAATTGTAACCCCCTGTACAAATGAAACAAGGTTAAACATTTCTAAATGCAAAGGCACAAGATAAACATTACCATTCCAAAAGTCACAAACAGGGAAATATAAAGCATTGGAAACAAAGCAAGTCCAACATCCAGCAGGATAACATTAAACATCTGAATCAATGTGGTTGTAAGCTCCAAAATGCTTGGGTGATTCCACCCCCACAGCACTTCCAGGGATATCAGCTCCTGCAGCTTTTCTCTTAAAACCCTCTCTGCTCACTTCTTGTAGCTTTTCTTGGAGGATCCACGTTTCTGGCTTTCCCATACTTTTGGGGTCTCCATTGCACCTTTAGCTTTACCCTTACATCTTTACAAACTGCCCTCTCAGGGGCACTGTGCTTGTTCCCCCAGGCCCTTTGCAATTGAGGTGGAAGCCATCTTACCCTCAGAATTTGTGAGGTTTTTTTTGTACCTAAAATCAGCACCATGTGGATGCTGCCAAGGTTTGCTGCCAGCTGGAGCAGTAGCCAGGCTTTTTTCTCTCTTGGTTGTAGGGACTGATTGCCTGGATCGTTGGGCTCTGTGAACCTGATTGTAAAGAGAAGCTTTTGTATGTTGCTGCCATTTTGGAACCTCATGTGGCCTCTGTTGCCATTCTGGAACCTCATGTAGCCTCTGTCGCTATTCTGGAGCATGGTGCTCTGCAGCTTTCTCCTCTGAGCAAATTCTTTCACTTTTGCAGTTTTAAGGATGCAAAGGGTGGGGACCTGATGCTTCCTGGGATGCTCCATCTTTTTTATCTCTCTGCTTCTCCTCAGCAATCAAAGTCTCAACCCTGTCTTATCCACAGCTTTCCTGGAATTTTCCTTTTGGCCAGATTCAGAACACAAAGCTGGTTAAAAGCCCCCAACAATAGCCATGCCACAGCCTCAACATTTGACTGCTTTGAAATTTCCTTTTCCAGATTAATCAGTCCATTGTCCTTTGTCTCAGTCTCAGGCAGTCTCTGGGCATGAGCAAAAGTCAAACAACCAATGCAGTCCTTCTTCCCAGCAGAAACCTCCCTAGCCTGGTCTTTACCACGAGACTTTCTATCAGCATTTTGGTCTCCTGAGCTCTTACCAGAATCTCCTCTATAGAAAAGCTTAAGCTGCTTCAACTCTATGCATCCAGACAACATATCTGAACCTTTTTAAACGCTGCCCACAAGCCATTTTTAAAGTCTCTCGAAAAACATGGTCAGGTAGTCACAGCAACGACCCCACTCCTGATACCAAATTCTGTCTTGGTTATTTTTTACTCATTGCCGAGACAAAATACTTGATGACCAAAGTTGGTAAAGGAAAAGTTTATTTCTTATAGATTTTGGAGGTTTCAATACATACTCAGTTGGCTCTAAGGCAGGGTGGCATGGCAGGGCTGCAGTTTATGGCAGCTGCAAAGGGCAAGGCAGTAACTGGCAAGAGAGACACACCTTCTTCTTGCCATTACATTACATCCTGGCTCCACCCCTAGGCCAGTGTAGCACTCACATTCCCAATCCAAGCCCTACACAATGAACCAATCACAAATGCATAATGCAAATGCATGAAGTCTGAGGGTCACCCACATAAACCATGACAACAGATTAGTATATAAAATAAAGATTATGGAAAAGCCCTGTTTTGGACTGAGCAGTGCAGTAGACCCCCAAAGAACATACTAAACCAAAATGAGTCACTCTTGTTAAATAGAACACAATCAGACAAAAATGTTAGGGAAACACATAAATCCTGAAACACACTAGTTTTTCCTAAAAATAGATTTCTATTTATCTGAGGTGTAATACGAAGTCTTCTTTGCTTTAACTTTTACAAAAAAATAACCTAAAATAGCCAATCAAAGATAACAAAATATATTATGGCAGCTATTTTTTATTTCCTATTATCTTGTTTTGAAGCATGTATTGCTTTGTTTTGTTTTGACTGATTTTATTCTATTTGGTTTTGATTGTATTGTGTTTGAAGGTAGAGGCAACTACTCTGAAGATAACAAGATGCATTATGATACCCACAATGGTTTCATTACCCCCCCTGTTTTGAAGTCCTGTACTGTTTCACTGTTTTGTTTTTATTGGTTTTATTCTGTAATATTTTAGATTTTCTTATACTTGATAGTGTGGGCCAATTCTTTTGAAGATAACAAAAGGCATTATGATAGCCATTATTGATTCCCTTATATTTTGCTTTAAGGTCATGTACCATGTTCATTGTTT